CTGAATGGCTCCTCATTGACTCTCCAACAAGAGTAACTACCTATGTCTAGAATTTGTGACCTCACACAATACAGTCCCCACTTACTTGCCTGGCTTTTCCTCTCTCTCCTCTGATTTGCACCCCCCATTCCCAGGTATGCCCACTTCCTTGTGCAAGGTGGTATGCACCACATCTGTTCACTCTGCTGCCTTTAGCAGGAGCCCCTTCCTTTCAATCGCAGACTGTTAAAAACACGCTCATCTTTGAAGGGTCAACCCAGGAGATTTTTAGTGTCCTCCATATGCTGTTTGGCCTATTAATATTTATTATATACCTACTGTGTACTAGGATATGGTGAATAGGACATGCCCGCTCCCTGTCCAGTATTCAGTGGCTGGATTGGGCATTAGAAAACGACAGACGATGGCATTGGGAGGTAGAACCAGGCTGTAGGAAGTGTGTTTGCCATTCTCAGTTCACCTGGAGTGTTTATCCCAAGCAGAGCCCGTGGCTGCAGGAGCCACCGCCACCCTGGAAGGGAGGCAGCCTCTGCACTGCACCCTCATTCCCTTTTGTCCTTTCACACCTCTCCACAGAGCCTGGCAGTGATGCTAACAGAAGTATGTCATCAGCAAACATTACTTCTCTATTAGCTTGTTTCTCAGTTTTGATTCTGAAAACATCCTGATTTAGTCTAATTGCAGTTTCACTGTGTTCCTTAGGCAGCGAGGGTTCAGATTTGAGAGAGCAGAGCCTTAACCCTGCAGGATTTTTCTTCCTGCTCATCTGCTTTGAAGCTGGACCATTAGCTCTAAGGCAGGCATCTCATCTCGTCGCAGCGATTCAGCCTGCTTCTGGGGAAAAGAGAGCCCAGGGTGTTTGGTAGGAAGAAAAGCAGTATCTTCATTCTAGGTGGCGGGAGATATTTTTCTATATGTAAAGCAAGGACTGCTACTGGAATCATTTTATTCCTAAATAATTTAACTATATTCAAAGATAATCTGATGTTATTGTAGGAGAGTGTATTTCTAATAAATTCCACTTGATCTGGGTGAATCAATTCAGGCAGCGCATAATTGAGTCTGTTAGCAAGGACTTTAGCAAGAATTTTGCAATCAGTGTTAATTAAGAAGATGGGACAATAATTTGTGCATAATTCCAGATCTTTTCCTGGCTTGTGAATCAAAGTAATAAGAGCAATGCTCTGGCTGGTGGCGGGATACTGTCATTAGGTGCTGATTTATAAGTACTTAGAAAGGTTTAATTTCATTTTGCTTGGAGCAGGGTCTCCCTGCCCCCATATTCCTTGCTCAGGGTGTGCAGGCGAGATGGCTGAGAGCTTTCCTTTCTGTCTTTCCCTGTTGTCGGTGGCCTCCTGCTCCCCATTTCTGCTTTTATTCTGCAGCTGAGCACCCCACTCACGCTCATGTTTTTCTTAATACTCTTATATGAAGTCAGGGACTCATGTTATTGATGTTTTGTGTATGCGTGTGCCTGCCTGCATGCATACATGTGTGCATGGGTGCACATGTAATACACACACATGCGTGTGCATGTGCATGTATAACGTAAAACCAAAGGGTTGCACACAGTTTCACGGGGGACATTTCTTCATGGGTCCTCCTGCAACACGTGTCTGGGTGGGTGGGTATCAAGAGCCCTTGACTGCAAGTCAGGAACACACCTGGTTAACATGCTGCTCCTGACGGGCTATTGACCAGTAAGGGAACAGATGTGAGCCTCAATGTTCCACTTGTAAAACGCAGCCATAGGATACACTGCAGGCATCATGGGAACCACGAAGAGCACTGGGCTCTACCTCCTGTCGGCTGTGGGACCACAGGGTGTAACGCAACCTCTCTGAGCCTCATTTAGCCCCTTGGGAAACTCACGTTGACGACAAGTCCTCCCTGCACCGTGATTCCTTACTCTGCCTCCACTCAGGGCTCATTCCAATTCTCACATGCTCTGCTTTGGGGACTTATTCTCCCTAACGACGAGGACAGGGCTGGCCCTGGGCCAGGCTGTTGCTTATCTGGAGCATTGGAGCTCATGAACCGGTCTCCCCAGCCTTCTAGGCATTTCCTTTCCTGCCCAATTGGCCTCCCCTTGCAGGTGGGGCCAGTCCACACAGGCCTGTTCGGACGCACCACACCTGTGAAAGCAGCGGGGGTTTGCTCACTCCTCCGCAAACACAAGTCATTGGACCTGGAACCCTAGCTGGTCTGATTTGTAAAGACCCTGAGAGATGGCCCACTTTTTCTTTTTCTTTTTTGTTAATCCTCACTCAAGGATATTTTTTTCCATTGAGTTTTTGTTGTTGTTGTTAATCCTCACCTAAGGATATTTTTTCCCATTGATTTTTTGAGAGAGTGGAAGGGAGGGGGAGAGACAGAGAGAAACATCCATGTGAGAAAGACACATTGATTGGTTGCCTCCTGCATGTGCCCCGACCGGGCCTGGGGCTCGAGCCTGCAACTGAAGTATATGCCCTTGACTAGAATCAGACCTATGACCCTTCAGTGTGCAGGCCAATGCCCTAACCACTGAGCAACCCTCTAGGCCTCCATTGATTTTTAGAACGAATGGAAGGAAGAAAGGGAGGAGGGCAAGAGAGAGAAAAACATTGATTGAGAGAGACATTGATTGGTTGCCTCCTGCACACCCCCCAACCTGCAACCCAAGTATGTGCACTTGACTGGGAATTGAACCCTCAACCTTTTGATGTGCAGACAGATGCTCTAACCACTGAGCAACTGGCCAGGGCTGGCCCATTTGTTTCAATGAGAAAATTAGTTCAGAGAGATGGACTGGCAGGTTCAAGACCATACAGGAAGTGGTGGAATCAAGGCAAGAACCAGGTCACTTCACTGCTATTCTCTTGCTATTCCCATTACGACTCATGTCTCAGAGCCACTCACAGTGGGCATGCTCTTGTCATTGGTGCCACGGAGTCCTCTAAGGCAGGGGCTGTGCTCATGTACCTGACATCTGAGTGTTGGTCTGCCCCGGGTGAAGGTCCTCCCCATGAGTAGGCCAGGAGCAACGGCTGTGGCTCTAATGTCAGGGCTGCTTAGCGTCAAGCCTCTGGGGCGAAGGTTGAATGAGAAATGGAATTCCAAAAATGACCTGGTTTTGGCGTGCATACACGTGCCTGTCACGTGTTCACACACGCTCATGCCCCACCCACCCACGCTTCTGGGTGAGATCTCTTAATAAAAATCCAATTAGCATTTCTTTAACTTGCCTCCAGATGCTCAATACCATTGCCCCAAATACAACATAATGCCCTTGGTTTTCCATTTCCATCAAGAATTCAAGTAGCATCTTGACTTGTATATACTGTATCAGCAGCAAAACCATGGAATGCTGACATCCTTAATAATCGCAATTAGTAATCAGTTGTTCCTTAAGTAGTTTGATTACACCGGTTACCAAATTGTACGGTCGATGCATTTGGGGGCAAGAAGGGTCTCGCCACCCCTCCCCCAGCTGTCCCTGCTCCCTCCCCGTGTTCTCAGTGGTTGCTGAGCTGACAGGCACAGAAGAGAGGCAAGGACAAACAATGCGACTGTCACTGATATTAAGCAGCGGAGGCTTGGCATTAGCAGGAAGGAGAACTAGATAGTTCTTTGCCAAAAGACCAGGCCCAGAAGCGCCTGTGGAAAGGCAGTCTGTGCCCACTCAGCCGAATGATCACAAAGGAGCTGGCCGGCCCGTGCCAGGCGGGCACCCAGAGTCTGAGCTCCCTCTCAGGACGAAGACTCCGTGCCCGGGGCTGGATACCACCAAGGGTTTGGCAAGGATCTTGCCCTTGCGGAGGCTGTACTTGGGTGTGAAATATTCAGTGGGTTATAAAAATTAGCCGGCAAGGCCGTGTGCTCCTGTAACCGATAGAGACGGAGAGCATTAAGCTCTGGTGAAGGAGGAGGTGAGTCTGCCGGCCGGGTCAGCAGGAGTGGACTTCCAGGGGAGGTGGCCCTGTGTGCGGGTCTGGAAGGACAAGGTATGCTCTGGCCTAGGTGAGCAGAGGGCACATCTGACCAGCTGGAAAACAGCACAATACAACTAAAAGTAAACCTCAGGTCAGGGAAAATATTTTCAGCGAGTATGACAAAGTGATTTTATATATATGTTACATGAAGAAGTCTTTCAAAAGTGACAAAAAGCATACAAAGAAATGGGAGCTGTTGCCCATGGACCTGAACAGACAAGAGGTCTACAAGGAAAACAAAACCCCGCGGACAAGACTGTCCTGAGCAGCAGAGAAAGGATGCGAGCAGGCACGGAGAGCGACCAGGGCGCACGCATTAAACTGGAGGTTAAGTACCAGCTTTCAGCAGCAGCAAGTCCAGGGTGTGGCGAGACACGGGCACTCATGCTCAGAGGGAATAGAAGTCCTTTCAGAACACAAGTTGGAAACTTTTATATCCTTGTTGCAGTAATATGGCTCTCAGGAATTCATTCTAATATATAATATAACCCAAATCAGAAAAAAGCCCTAGGAATGCTAATAAAGATGCTAATTACAGCATTATTGATAGTAGCAACAATGTACACAGAGCTTCCCCCTCTTGTAGGCATTTGGTTTACATATTTTGTGATGAATCACCTCAATCGGTGATTGAATTAAGATGACTATGAAGCACCGTGAAAAGTACTTTAGATACAGTAACTCTATGGAGCAAACACAAGATTATACCTCCAACCTGGTTCTGAGCAGGGCCATTGACTTGCAAATGGACCAGCAATGAAGACACACCGTGTTAGGATGGTGGTGCCTTGGGCTCACCTTTCTCTTTTTAAGTGTGTCGTATGGGGCTCTAATGGTTGCCTGTGTCACAGGTGGATATCCACAGTCTATGCTGCACGTGTGCGTGTAGGGATGTAAGAACCACACAGCCAAGAACTGTCATTTGCTTTTTCAACCATCCTCCCTCCCAGCTCCCGGAATGGCCCACCTGCGTCACGTCACACGCACACGTGATGGGTATAGTTTCAAGCACAGGAGACTGGTTACCTAGGAGCACCCCGGGGGGCAGCTGGGCTGAGGGGTCTTTCATCCAGTCGTCGTTGGCCAGTTCTATCACGGCGTCCACGTGCCGGACCTGGGTGCAGATCACGGTGCGTACCGTCTCCTCATCCCTGGCGTCCAGCGCGGACTTCAGCCTCCTCACTAAGTCTGAGCTGAGCGGGTGGTCGGGGAGGCAATCAGAGCTGGACATTGTAATGGCGTCTGCGTGTTGACCAAGCTTCTTTTCTTCTCAGCTGAGTCCAGAGTTAGCAGCTGTGGTGTGGGGATGCTATAAATAGAAGAAACAGGCTTGCGTTACCTCCTCCCTCCCCCTCCTTCACAGGGAGGCGGGATTCATCTCCCTGAGGCCCCAGGAGAGACTATTCTAGAGAGGGGCAGTAGATGTGTTGGTGAGGGGGTCGGGAACAAGAGGGGGCATATTTGAGAAGGAAGTTCTTACCGGTGCTGTTGGACTCTGTCTTCTCTGATCAAGAGAGAGACTCTACCTGAAACTCTAAAGACTGGGCTTGGAGCCTCCCTCTGTGGAAGGGGCACTTCAGCATGTCCACCGACGGCTTCCTCGCTTCATCTGAAAGGAGAGTCGGCCTGACTATAAACTGGACACGCTCTGAACTGGAGAGAATGGAGGGAAATCTTTGGTTTCCAAATTCAGAGACCGACTGGCTGGTGTCAAGAGGGCAAACGCATCACATAAGTGAACAGAGTAACGTATGTGTTGGCGATGTCTCCACACCCCTCAGGGCTGGTAACTTGGCTTAAAGTACCCAATTCCACCACCGTGGGAGTACAACGCCCCTCATGTGGTTTCTGTGCATTCCGGGGGGGTTGGAGGCTTTTTTCTCACGACCTCTGTTTCTGTTGGTCCTGGACCCCCACATTAACCAGGGCACAGAGCCCAGCTGCCCCAGCACTTCCCTGTATTTTGTGGTGACCTGAGGGGCCCAGGCTGCACCATATAGCTTTCAAGAAATTAATACACTTTTGGATTCTTTTTTGAATTGAAATATATTTGCTATGTAACATTGTGTAAGTTGAAGCTGTGCAGTAATGTTGATTTGGTATATTTACATGTTGCAATATGATCACCATGTAGTGCTAGCTAGCTCCTCTGCCACCTCACATGGTTATCGTTTCTTTTTTGTGGTGGGAATAATTAGGATCCAGTCTCTCAGCAAGATTGGTGTTTATAATACAACTGGAGGCCTGGTGCACGAAATTTGTGCAGGGAGCGGGGAAGGGATCCCTCAGCCTGGATTACGAGAGAGCGCAGGCCAGGCTGAGGGACCCCACCAGTGCATGATCGGGGCCGGGAAGGGACGCGGGAGGTTGGCCAGCCAGGGAGGGACCACGGGAGGGCTCCAGGGCGTGTCTGGCCCATCTCACTTAGGCCCCATCTGCTGAACCCCAGCAGCAAGCTAACCTACCAGTTGGAGCATCTGCCTCCTGGCGGTCAGTGCACATCATAGCGAGTGGTTGAGTGGCCTTAGCATATCATTAACATATTATGCTTTGATTGGTTGAATGGACGACCAGACACTTAGCATATTAGGCTTTTATTATATAGGATATTGTTGTCTATGGTCACTACATTGTGCATTAGCTCCCTAGGACTTATTTATCTGCTAGTTGCCAATTTGTGTCCTTAAAAACGTTTCTATTCCTCATGTGGCTTTTATAGAGCCGCCTCCACTATGCACCCCTATCCTACCACCTCTTCCTTTTCTCATTTCTCTCATCTCCCCTTGTGATGGTTAATTTTGTGTCAATCCGGGTGGGCCACAGTGCCCAAATATTTGGTCAAACATTATCCTGGATGTTTCTGCAAAGGTGTTTCTTTGGAATGGAATTAATGTTTAAGTTGGTGGACTCTGAGTAAAGCAGATTACACTCCATAATGTGGGTGGGCCTCATCCAATCAGTCGAAGGCCTGAATAGGATAAAGACCGATGCCTCCCAAGCAAGAGGGCCTTTGGACTTGCACTGCAATTTCTCCTGGGTCTCTAGCCTGCTGGCTACCCCACAGGTTTTAGACTTGTCAGTCTCCACAGTTACATGAACCAATTCCTTAAAATAAGCCTCTTTTTCTCTAATACTCCCCTCCTTCTCCCAGCTCCCAGGTGCCTCTATGCAGGTTCTGTTCCAAACACTGACACTTTTTGCAACATGTCTGGCACCTGCATTTGAGGAGCTGACCCTGGGCTCCTATCTATGTCTGTTCTCCTTCCTCCTACCTCACAGAGCCTGGGTCTTCCTTGCTGTGACAACATGCCCGGCCCCTGTGATAAATCATATTGAAGTAAGTCAGTAGTGTCAGTCCTAGTCTCCTTTGCAACCCAGTTCTGGCCAGTGAGAGTGGGCATGGCCTGCTCTGGTGCCTGTGGGGGATTTTCTGCTTTCCTGATGGAAAGGGACGTCGTGGCTGGCACCTCCCTTTCCCTTCCTTCTTCCCTTGGGCCCGGGCATGGTGTGTGGAGCTGGGGCAGCCCCATCACAGTGATGAGGTGACACACTTGAGATGGAGGATCACTACCTAAGGAGAGTGGGGCAGAAAGAGGGGGCGAGATGGCTCCTCGATGACATTTCTGAACCTTTGTCCCGGTTCTGGGCTGCCAACCACTGGACTTCTTGTCTGTTCCCGAGAGAACTGTCCAGGTGCTCACTGTGAGTGCAGTGGCAGATGTTCCTGGCTGGGAGGGTACTCTGTTCACGCTGCCATTAAAATCATGGACATGTCCTGGCTTCAGTCTAGAGAGAGGCCGCAGAACTGGCTCAGCCTGTGCTGAGAATGTGAGTTAATCCCCCGAGGTTTCCATGCTTTGGTTATTGGACTCCTGCCTTCCATGATTATCTCACTGTTGGTACAGGGACAGCAGCCAGCCCCAGAGTCCCCGAGTGGAGAAACGATGGCCACAGCCTGAGGTCATCAGTGAGCAGGCAGCCAGGCCCCTGAGGGACTGCCTTCCAGTGTCGCAGGGATGGAAAACAACCCCAGATGGCCACATTCCTGGAATCACTGGCCGCTGGGTCGGCCTGGAAAAGAGATATGAGCCCGCTGGCTCAGTCTTCGGTTCAGGCATTAGGCCAGCTTGCTGAGAGTGTGGTTGGCCCCTGGTGCTCTCTTCAGCCAAAGAATGATGGTGTTGAGAGATAGTTTTGAACCTGAGTTTCCAAGCACAAATGCATCGCATGCCTTACCTTAAAGAGAAATTTGACACCAGCACATTGGTGTAAACACAAAGAGAGGGGGAGCAGTGACCACGGGAAAAGGGTCGGAGTTTGGGCAAGGTAATTTAAAGAAATAAACTGAGGATGGTTAGCGATTGCTACCCAACTTCAAATCAGAAGGGAGGTGAAGAGGAAGCACTTGTGAGGCAGATAATAAGATGACAAAGCCTGGAACGGCGGCGCTCGCTGATCTTAATTACCAAGCGATCTGCTGGGTGTTTAATCAGAGGCACATACGCTATGCTAATTATTCCGGCTAATTTCGTTATAATGCAATTCTTTATCAACCCTGCTATGTATAAATTAGGAATTGAAATGTAACTAACACAAATTATATTTAAGGCAACATGAATTTCTCTATTCCAGTGTGAAATCTTCTAATCTCTATTTCTTTATCTTTTCTTGTTTGATTAGCTCATGGGGATCCTCCCCTCCCCCACGGCACCAATATTTCTCCCTCCACTTCTTAGAAATCTTATATTTGACTTTCTCCTTCTGCGATTGTCCTTGAAAGGTGCGGAATACATTGAGGCAATCAATGGCAGGCGGGTCCCGGCTTTCCCTGGGCAGATAGAGGTCACTTCATTGTTCTGCTTTAATTTTTCAGCAATCATCGGAGGGTCCCCTAGTTCACGTATTCTCAGTGACATATTGATTGTGACTTATGTCAGGTTATGTTCACAGATGTGTTTAGGTAGAGGACCGATAACACAGACCCCCACCGAGAAGCACGAGTATTTTGTGGAAGTTTTAATGCCGCGTGCTTTGCCGCCCACGAGGTCAGACTGGTGTGGAAGTCGGCGAGCTGTGCAGTGCCCACGGGCGTGCCGCCCGAGGGCACCAGCTGGGAACTTCTCGAAAGGATGCTCTCTTACATGATAGAGACCGTCTTTCTAAAGGCAACAACCAACGTCAGATTTAATGCTGAGACACAGATGGTTACTATGGCCAAGGACAATGCAGTCCAGCCAGCTATGATCACTTCTTCTCTGTTTCATTTTGGAATCAATTGAGAGGAGGCGTCAGCCAGAGGGGCTCAGAGTGTCAGCTTCATGACTGACAAGACCACCGAAGCAGGAGTCTTCAGATCGGAAGCCAGAGGAGCTTGCCGTCAATCCCTGAATCAGGCACCACACACATCATTGGCAGTGCTGGGCCCCCTTCCCCACCTCGCCCACCAGGACTGACCCTTCCCAGGACGTAGAGAAACCAAGATGACCCTCTCCTCAGACAGGCAGACCCCAGAAGAATCCAGAAGGGGCTAAGCTATGCAAGCCCCTCCCAGAGGGCCTAGTAAGGTCTTCCAAGGAGAAAGAGATGAGACTAGAGCAGGGGTGGGCAAACTTTTTGAATCGAGGGCCACAATGGGTTCTTAAACTGGACCGGAGGGCCGGAACAAAAGCATGGATGGAGTGTTTGTGTGAACTAATATAAATTCAAAGTAAACATCATTACATAAAAGGGTACGGTCTTTTTTTTTTTTTTTTTAGTTTTATTCATTTCAAACGGGCCGGATCCGGCCCGCGGGCCGTAGTTTGCCCACGGCTGGACTAGAGGGAGGCTGGGCGCAGCACACGGTACAAGTTCATGCCTATGGACGCACAAGGCCAAGGGGACCTCTAAGAGTATTCTACACATTTTGAGAAGTTTTAGCCAGTACAAAGTCAGGGCAAGAAATAAGAATGATAAATAGCTTTAAAAAATCAAAATGATCAACCATTATCTGCAGATGATACCTGTATAAAATCCGAGTGAACCAATGGAAAGATATTAGTTAGAACTTAACAAAAATGTTCAGTAAGCTAGCCTACTGCCCTCCCAAATGAGCAAAATTAATAGTTTTCCTATAGACCAGCAAAGTTAGAGACCTGGACAAAGTGCACAGGAGAGAATCCTGGGAAATAAGGTCATACCAATGTTCAGGAAATTCAATCAAAGAAGGAGAGAGAAAAACCTGCCTTGTCGATGGCAAAATACATAACAGAGCTACAATAATTCTCAAGGGCG